TAATTCTGGGCTTATAGTATCTGTCACAAATATCTTAACAGTGTGATTAAGTTACTAAACGTATATGTAAATGAAAGCTATAATGTATTCCAGTAACTTTGCATAATACTATATAGCAATTTTTTATTTGCATATTGGCTTGTATAATACAATATATACTAATCCTATATTTGCATATTGGATTGTATAATACCATATATGCTAATTCTAAATTTGCATATTGGCTTGTATAATACCATATATGCTAATCCTATATTTGCATATTGGCTTGTATAACACCATATATGCTAATCCTATATTTGCATATTGGCTTGTATAATACCATATATGCTAATCCTATATTTGCATATTGGCTTGTATAATACCATATATGCTAATCCTATATTTGCATATTGGCTTGTATAACACCATATATGCTAATCCTATATTTGCATATTGGCTTGTATAATACAATATATGTTAATTCTATATTTGCATATTGTCTTGTATAATACAATATATGTTAATTCTATATTTGCATATTGTCTTGTATAATACAATATATGCTAATCCTATATTTGCATATTGGCTTGTATAATACAATTTACGCTAATCCTATATTTGCATATTGGCTTGTATAATACAGTATACGCTAATCCTATATTTGCATATTGGCATGTATAATACCATATATGCTAATCCTATATTTGCATATTGTCTTGTATAATACCATATATGCTAATCCTATATTTGCATATTCCTATTTGCTCTGTCACCCATCTTTTCATACAGGTGGTTTTGGCCAATCGTTTTTTGGTAACTCTACACCGTCAGCATCAACAGCAAGTAGTGGGTTATTTAGTCAATCTGCTAGTGGTACTTCTACGTTTGGACAGTCGTCTACTTCTGGGTCACTATTCAGCCAACCAACAACAGCTGCCTCCTCTTTTGGCCAGACTGGGTTCGGACGACCAGTGACAACAACAACAGCAGCAGCAGCGACAACAACTAGTAGTAGTGGTGTTAGTTTCTTTGGCAGTGATGGAGGTGGTTTGTTCGGCGGCCTTGGTGGAAAACCTAGCGCCGATGCCGCTAATAAAAATCCATTTGGTAGTGCTCCAACAACTGGATTTAGTACAACTCGTAAGTACATGTACAGTGAAATCAACTGTTGTCTTCTCTCTATAAACCAGCATAAATTCGTTATTATATTAAAATGTTGATCACGGTCTGTAACCTATGTAAAATCACATTAAAATTAATAAGGAAAGTGTAGAAAAATATCTTCAAAATGTTGTACCAGATTTATGATAGAAAAAAATTGAAAATATATATTAGGTGTGCAGGTTTTTTTCTATAAAAAAATGAACAAGAGGGGGGGGGGGCACACACAGGCGATCGACCTGGAAACACCATATCAAAAGGTTTCTGCGCCGTTTTAATGGTGTATCTATCGCCATTGAAATATTTTTGGAGTAATTTTTGTGTATTTGGTGTCCAGACACATTGTCAGCTATATATATATTTGAGAAAGATTTCATGTTGTACGTCAGCACGGAAGTGCACGGCTCAAGAAATATGTTTATGACTTGAAAGCTCAATCCGCAATTCGGTAAGAGGGCGCCAGCTGAGAGTATCAGGGCGCTGCACCCCTGTTGCCCGGTTTAGAAAAAACTCTGGTGTGGGAATTTTCCTGCATAAACTGACTCATTCTGTGTTGTTCCAATAATTTGCAACATACTGTATTATAATAGTGTGACTGTAATTATAAAGTGATTGTATTTCAGGTTCGTAAATTGTGTTTATTTATCTTTTCTTCTATTTGCACAGCTCAGTCTCTGTTTGGTAGCCAAGGAGCCAAAGAATTCAACACTGGAGGTGAGTAAAACCAAACTAATCAGGATGGCAGAGCAGAGTTGTTAGTCCCCGTTCAGACGCAGTCCGAAAACGGGGACTTATGTTTTTACCTCCGTGTGTACGTGCGTGCGTGTGTGTGTCCATGCGTGTGTGCGTGCGTGTGTGCGTGCGTCTGTGCGTGCGTCCGGACCTGTATCTTAGAAATGCCTGGACCAATCACAATCAAACTTCACACATACATCATACATGATATTATACATATGCACGTCAATTTGTTTCACGATCTGATTCAACATGGCCGAATGGCGGCCATTTTTGTGCTAAAAATCATCAAAATCAAGCATTTCTCGGCTGTTTACAGATGGATTTTGTTCAAACTTGGTATATACATTAGACATTATAGGACCTTGGTGCACATCATTTTGTTTTACGATATGATTCAAGATGGCCGAATGGCGGCCATTTTTGTGCTAAAAAATCAACCATTTCTTGGTATATACATTAGACATTATGGGACCTTGATGCTAATAATTTTGTTTTTCAGATAAGATTCAAAATGGCCGACTAGCGGCCATTTTGTATTAATGAATGTGGTTCTCGTGCCATATCTCTGACTTGCTTTCACTGATTATGTTCAGATTTTAAATACTCATTATACATCATGTCATAGATAGACAGATATATTGGTTTGATGATCCTATTCAAAATGGCCAAATGGTGGCCTTTTTTTTTTGCTAAACAATCATTAAATATCCAGCATTTCTGGCGTTTATGGATGGATTTTGTTCAAACTTGGTACATATATTAGACATTAAAGGTTCCTGATGCACATCATTTATTTTTTAGATCGGATTCAAAATGGCTGTCTGGCGGCCATTTTGTTTTAATGAATGGGCTTCTAGACCCATATCTCCGACTTGTTTTGACTGATAATATTTCCAAATTTTAAATATTCATTATACATCATGTCATAGATAAATAGATACATTGGTTTAACTATCCTATTCAAAATGGCCGAATGGTGGTCATTTTTGTGCTAAAAAATATCAAGCATTTATGGGTGGATTTTGTTCAAACTTGGTACATACATTAGACATTACGGGTTCCTGATGCTCGTCATTTTATTTTTCAGATTGGATTCAAAATGGCTGACTGGCGGCCATTTTGTTTTAGTGATTGGGCTTCTAGAGCCATATCTCTTAAATGCTTTGACTTATTATATTTAAATTTTATATGTTCGTTATACATCATGTTATGGCTGATTTTGAATGCTGTTCCAGAGCAATATCTCTCAATATGGACAAGTACTTGTTTGACGATCAGATACAAATGTCAATCATTTTAATGTTTAAAAATCATATTCCTGACATGGTTATATTCCAGCTATATTACTATAAACAAAACTATATATCTTAAATTTGATAACTAACTGGGACTGTGCCATGCATGGCTTGTTTATATGTGTGATTGTTTGTTCAGCACCTGTCCTTGTTATCAACAAGTATACAAAATGTAACTGTTCTTGGAAACCATCAAATCTTATTTGTTAATTTTATAATGATAATTATTAGTGATGGAAAATTATGTCTTTATGTGTTCTATTTTATATTTTCTGATCAATCCAGGATTCAGTGTCGGCAGTTCAGGATTTAGTGGTGGCGGAGGTGTAGCAGCAGCTGGATTTGTTGGTTTTTCAACTGGACAACAGTCACCAGGTACCACTACAGGTAGCATTGGAAACCATTGTGCATGTTATATAGTTTAATTTGTTTGTCATATTACAATAGAAATTATACTTTTATCAATTATTTTTTTCTATATTTATAAAAACATTTATTTTCTCTGCCAATAATGGCTTTCCTGTCAGATCAAAGATCTGTGCATGTAAACTGTGAGACAAACTCGTAATTTAAACAGAAATAGTTGTTTATCCTAAATCTTTAAAGATCCAACACTCCCATCAAACATACCAGCTGTGTAGAATGTAAAAGATGTACTCTTTATGTATAGCTAGGTTTTCTTTGTTAGATTTTCTTGTCACTTTTCTAACCTTATTTTGCAACTTGTATTATAATCAATTGACTTCTGCTTATTACCTGGTATATGTATGTGCTTGAAATAGAGGAAGTGGTTGCGAGCAAAGTGTTAAATATGACGTTTGTTTCTAATACCTTCACTGAGCATTGTGTATTGTGATTAATTTTTTTTTTTGACGATCTTGATTCAAACAAACAAATACATAACCAAAAAAATAGTGACAGATGTAGTGGTGTTGAAATAATTTTGTAATGAACTTCCTTATGTTTCATACCAAATCACTGATAAGTCTCAGCATTTTAAGTTAAAATTGTCATTATTGCTTATTTTGGTTTTGTATACTGTAGGTGCAAGCGGCTTTGGTGCAGCTCCCGCATTTGGTGGTTCATCTCAATTTGGAGCAGCTCCGGCTTTTGGTTCTGCATTTGGTGCCACCCCTAGCTTTGGAGGAGGTGCTACGTTTGGAGCTGCAGCTTCTCCGCCATCAGTATTTGGAGAGAAGAGCTCCACGGTGACTGGTGGTTTTGCAAGGTGAGTTTGTATTCCTTGACACAAATGTTACCATTAATTATAACAATTGTATATTTCTCACAATCATACCCCAAAGTATACATGAAAGCTGTACGACAATTATATCGACTTACGCATAACACACTTTGGGATATTCTCATGAATATCATATCTCTGTTTGGATTAATAATTTAGTGAGAGATATGAACTTAAAATGCCAATCGTTGTTTTTCAAATGCATTCTGAAATGGGACTTTCTTTCCTTCACTACCTGTATACTGTAGAATACTTTATTTTAGCTGAAATTAATTTTCGCTGAAAAGACTTTCTGGGTGTTTTTGTATGGAATTTATTTTCACTGATTTTTGACAGTTGAATGTAAAATATAGGAAAAAAAGGTCTATTCGCTGGATTTTACTTTCACTGAATCATTAATTTCAAGCGAAAATAAAATATTTTACAGTTGTACATCTGTCTCCAATGTAAACAATATGAAGTTTTCAAATGTGACATAAATAACGTGGTAGTTAAGTTAAAACATTATTCACTTGCTTTTGCTGTTCACACCTTGATGAACAAATTTTATTTGAAAAAAATCATATTACCTTATATGACAAAGTCCGAAAACGGGGACTAATAATTTGGTCTCCGTCCGTCCGTGCGTCCGTGTGTCCTCCGTCCGGAGTCATATCTCAGAATCCCTTGGACCGATTCCGTTCATTCTTTGCATGTGCCTAGTACTTTATGTGGGACATATGCACATGCAGTGGTTTAGCGATTCGATTCAAAAAGGCCGACTGGCAGCCATATTGTTTTTTGAAAATGTTGTATTTTGGACATGCTTTGTCAGTTTTCATTCAAATTTAGTACATAGATCATACCTGTTAGGATACATGTCCCCGACCGTCCGTGAGTTCCTGAGTCTGTCCGTCCGACCGTCCGTGTGTCTGTCTGTCCGTGCGTCAGTCTATCCAACGTCATATTTCAGAATCATGTGGACCGATTCCATTCATTCTTTGCATGTGCCTAGTACCTTAAGTGGGACATATGCACATGCAGTGGTTTAGCGATTTGATTCAAAATGGCCGACTGGCAGCCATCTTGTTTTTTGAAAATGTTGTATTTTGGACATGCTTTGTCAGTTGTCATTCAAACTTGGTACATAGATTATACATGTTAGGATACATGTCCATGATACATTTATTTC